TCCTACTATAGAAAAATAATTTAATTGGGAGAGGTTGAATCGGTATAAAAGTTATTGATAATAAATATATAAATAGGTGGCGCCACCAGTGTTTATTCCGTCATCCGATGATAGCAAAATCCATTCTGTAACACTTTAAGGAATATATGTAATTCCACATTAAAAAGTGATGTTAGAACGGTCATATTCCATAATAGGAGTAGAAAATAGTATATTCTGTAACAAGTTTGGAATACGGAATATTCAGCCCGAGTGAAAAGTTTGTCACACAGGCCAAATGCGAGTTTGACGGTTTTACGAGAGCGGAGTATACAATTCCATATGTTTTTCAGGCTATACTTTTTCTACGTTTCCAAAAAATACAATAGAAAAATAATTTAATTGGGAGACAGTGAGGTTGGATCGGTTTAAAAGTTGTTGGATAATAAACACAGAGATGGGGCCACCAGCGTTTATTCCGTCATCCGATAATAGAATAATTCATTCTGTAAAAGTTTAAGGAATATAATATGTAATTCCACATTAAAAGGTGATGTTAAAACGGTCACGGAGTAGAATTACTTATTTTTTATGACTTATGATTGTTCTAATATCACTTTTTAATGTGGAATGACATATATTCCTGAAAGTATTACAGAATGAATTATTTTATCATCGGATGACGGAATAAACACTGGTGGCGATATCTCTGTGTTTATTATCCAACAACTTTTAAACCGATCCAACCTCACTGTCTCCCAATTAAATTATTTTTCTAGTGTATTTTTTGGAAACGTAGAAAAAGTATAGTCTGAAACACGTTTGGAATTGCATATTCCGCTCTCGCCTTTGGCTCGTGTGACACACTTTTCACTCGAGCGGAATATGCATGCCGTATTATACGGCATGCCGTATTCCAAACTTGTTGAAGAATATACTATAATAATGTATTCTTTATTTCTGTTGAAAACCATAACAACTTAAATAATCATAGCTGACAGTCGTATTTGTCATTTAAAAAAATATTTAAAAAATGCCCAAGAATTAACATTGTTCTGATATGGCGAACACTGTCACCAGAATCTGGTAACGCTGATGGCGAAGCTGGCAGAAATGGCGTTTAAGTCAGATAGTTTGCCGGATCAGGTTTTGCCTAGTACACACAAATTTTAATCTACAATGCAACACCTTCGTCTTCGTATTTCAAATGTAAAAGAAAATATTTTGGATGCCGTTGAAGCTAATCCAAGTACTACCCACTGCATTATATCAATATGGATATTACATATAAATTCTGTATATTCTTTCATGGATATTTATTTAAGGATATTTTATGGATTATCATGTTATATTTTTTTATGTTATCCATCTACGGATATTTAATGAATATACCTAAAAAAATGTATTGTATTTATTTATGAATATATATGTACTATCGGGGTAATTATTATCTTTCAACTAGCGGTCCCATTTTGCTCAAAACAGATTTCGCTGGCCACGCCTCGGGGTATTTATTGTTTTCACCAGCGATTTTAATTCGCTTTAAAGAAATTTGCTGGCCGAGTGTGAACACGCCCCTTTTACTATTCTTCGTAACAATCTGTCTTATTGTCCTATTTTTATTAATAGGTTTTGTATAATTATTATAATTTGTTTTTACCATGGCATATGTATTTTTTATAGTTTAAATTATTATAAGAGCAAAAAAGAGTATAATAATAAATAACTTTTACGATTTTAAATAAAATATCAAAATTGGCTAATAATAAGATTTGTTTTCGGAGAGCGAAAAAATATTAAGAAAAAATTAAAAAGCGGCTCATTGTCCTGTACATATGTATAATAATAATAGTAATATTATTGTTATAATAAAACTATAAAAAATAATAAAATTTATTAAAAATAAATACTTAATAATGACAATACAATTGTATAATTAGTTATTTAATTAATTATTTAATTAATACTTTGTCATTTCACCTCCTGCAGCTATTACCACATCACACCGGGACCTCATTGACAATACCAAACTGTGATATCCTGTGCCTCTTAAAGAAACCCACACTCGAATGCAGTGATTTTGCAGTGCATCCCCGGTTCTTTCATTTTCATTTTCCCAGATGTTTGCCATTTTGCCCCATAAATTTTCTCGCGGGTTTAGGTCTAGAAACCTACTTGGCTATGGCATATTGACAATATCCTGGTTTTTGTCAAACCAGGATTGCACCACTCGAGCCCGATGAATGGGGGCATTATCTTGGAAAAAAATTATCTGCTGGACTTCCTAACGTGGATATATAATCCGGACCGAAGGTCGAAAACATGTCTCTAAGACATCCCGATACTTTTCTTCAGTTGTTCTTCCTGGAAGTATGACAAGTTCACTGGGACCATCGGCGCTCATCCATGTTTACATGAATCCTGACAGATTCTTGAGTTTTTATCGTGTGGCTGGGATCGCTTCTCCACAAGTGAACTCTTCCAATCTGCGACGATTTAAATGTTTTTTCGTCGGCAAATATTAAAGTTTAAATTACGGAATACTCTTGCAAAGAGCTCACGTGCCGCTTTGTTTTCCTCAGTCAAAGCTATTTTTCTGGCAGGAATTCGGTGGTGGATACCGCACTAAGCAACCATAATCTTGAGCCATGGTCCTGGTGGATCTGAATGGAAACTCTTCAATTTCCTCTAAAAGATTGACCAATCGTTCTCCTTGAATCGTTCGAGGGCGCCCACCTCCTGGACTATGATTAATGTTTCCATCGTTGTGATATCTATTTATCCACAACCTTACAGTTGGCCTATAATTACATTTTAATAATAAAATACTCTATATAAATAAAGTATTAATAAAAAACGAACGCTGGTAAGCATATTTTCTGTAATTTGGGTAATAAAAAAGCCCCGGCTCTTAAGCATAAGAATTTCGGTTTTTTGTTGTGTTGATAATTTCGGCATATTACAAAACTCGTTAATACTATAATACCTGGCTGGCTGTGGTCATCTTCTTTTAATCAGGGTTGAAATTAAATTTTAATTTTCCTTTACCACAAAGTTTAAGTGAGAATCCCCTTCATCCGGGGGAAGTGGTTAGGTAAATGATCGAAATTGGCGTTTTGCTGGTTTGTCTGTGCATTGACACTTACTCAGTTCGGCATCGCAGCACAGACTTGGGTTGGGATAAATATATGTGAATATAAAGTGACTAGAAAATTTGTGTGAATAAAATAATGTACATATAAGAGTACAGAGAAACAATTTTGAAGAGAGAAAAATATGGTGTTGTAAAAAACATAAAAATGTATAAATAAAATGTGGTCGGTAAGAGTAAAAATGTGTGGTAAAAAAAGGTTATAAGAAGTAAGTGGTTGACTAGAGGATATCACAGTGTAGTAGTTATATGAAGTGTTTTGTTCTCTTTGGTATGTTGTCGCTGTTAGCAGTGTAGTTCATGACCTCTCTGATTATCGGGTTGGTACTTGTTTCCATCGCGTTGACCGTTCTTCTAGCTCTCTCTTGTATTTCTTGTGTTATCTCATTTAGCTGCAGGTCTCTCGCTATGTCTGCATTTCTTATAAAGCAAGGGGCATTGGTCATACTTCTCGCCGTGATGTTTTGGATCGTTTGTATTTTCTTAATTTGCTGCTCCGTAGTTTATTGCTGAAAGAATTACCGTTTTGTACATTAGCCTTTTAACACGAAGGTTGGTAGCTTTGTGGTTGATTATAGGTCCTAGTAAGCGTATGGCCACTCTCGCCTTATTTGCCCTAGCTGTTTTTCCAGTGGATGCTGGTACCACCTATCTCTAAGTTCGGAGGGTTTCTGGGGTTTATTCCCGTAGCGCGATTTACATTGCTTGGGTTTTAACTGGGTTGACCCGAGCGGAAGCCAAAGTGCTATGGCGGTAGGATGTTTCTGGCCTCAACCTCTTCCTCAAGTCTGTATGGTCTTTTCTGCAAGTTCTCCAAGGGCTGAGAGAAGACTTTTTGGCGGTAGCTCTACGGGTGGTCTTATGGCTTGCCTTGTTTCGGGATCATCACAACTTCGGCCTCCTTCTACACTAATGGGAACTGTCTAAGATCAAGCATTGAGTTTAGGTAGTTTACGAGGCCAAGTATCACCTAGTGCTAGGCAGTTTTTATATGTTGCGAGTGGTGTTGTTTTGAAACTGCTTTTCCAAGATGCTTGCGAAGATTTCGGCCCTTTCTTCGGGAGCGTAGAGTTTTCCGTTACATCCTGTTAACGCGGGGGTTGTTCCTACCTTTTTTTAACCCCTTCGTGATTGTGCGGTAGGTTTTGAAGAGTATCCTCCCATCTGTCACTTCGGAGCTGGTTCATTCTCCATTCTCCCTAGCTTGTTTGCTGTTCTTTTGTGAACTGGGTCGAGGGTACTTTGAGCTAATTTCATGGCCATTTAATAGTTTTTGAATTCTCCTTGTGATATTGTAGGTGTCGGAGGGCAGGACGTTTTTTGTGGTCAGCTCGTAAGATTCCTTGATGTTGTCCTGGAGTGAGTCTATTACCAGTAGATCCGGGCGGTTGTGGGGCTTTAAGCAGAAGTTGTTTTCCAGGTGTTAAGTGAAGGCGTTCGAATTTGTTTTTCTGACGCTTTCTATCCTACTTAGGGGGTCAGTGCCTACTATTATTAATAGTGGATTGTGGTCGGATGTGAGTTCTGGGATGTTGTGCGTGACTTGCCTGGCCAGAGCGATGTCTATGATGTCGAGACCTCCCTGGGTTGGGAAGATTGTGGGCGTAAATTTCCAAGGCATGCCTATTTGCTCCGTAGCTGTTTACCTCTGCTGCCCCAGGTGGTATTTATGGCGCTGAGATCGCTCCCGAGTAGAGTTGGGATATTGTCTACACCCATAGCCTTTTCATAGTTAGTTTCCGAAGTTTGGTGTTGTGGCGGAAAGTAGGCAGTCTAAGAGGACCTGATGACATCGCAACGTTGATGGTGTTGGCCTCCAGAGTTTCCAGGGCTGGTGTGTGGTCTTCATAGTGTTCGACGTTCCTTTTTATTATACATTTTGGTCTGCTTGGGATATAGGCGTGGCCGAATGGAAAACTGTTTGGATTTGGTTAGCAATCTGTTGCATTTGTTGGAACATCTCGCTGAACTTCTGGAGGTGTGCTGCCAGGTCGTTGGTTGGTACGGTTTCCCTTGATACCTGAGCGTAGCTTCTAGGTAGTTGTTGATGCGCAGGCTTGGTTTCTTTGGTTTTTTGTGCAAGCTTGGGATAACTCGTGTAGCCTTTGTAGCTGGCAGGATGACTTTCACCGCAGTTTGCACAGGTGGCCTTGGTTTCCCGTGACTTCGTGCAGCCATTGGAGAGATGTTCTTCAGCGCACTTGGGCCGTGCACCTAATTTGCCCGTGGCCGAAACGCCTTCTGAAGCATTGACTGATTGTAGCCTTGGTGTGTTGCGTTTCTACTTTAATCTTTAGGTTTAGTATGGTGTTTATATCGAAGATGCCCTTCTCTGTCCTTGGCAAGAAAACCCGTATGAGGGGCATTGGTATCTTGTCTTTGTCTTTGCCTTTGGTCATCCTAATAATGGATGTGGGATTGAAACGCTTCTCTTTTAGGTCTTTCTACATTTATCTCGGTAGGAATTCCTCGGATGACTATGTCTAGAAGCTTTTCATCGGGCAATTGAAAGGTACGATATGGGATGTTATCACTATTTAGAAGATATGTGAGCTTCCTAAAATCTTCTGGTGTTGTGGGAAAAATCCTGATGCCGTCTGCGATGCACTGTGCTCTGTGAAACTTTATCATATTTTGATTTAGATTTTTTGAGAGGGTAATCCAGTTGTCCTTCTGGCAAATTACTATCGGTGGGATTTTGGCAACAAGTGAAGGGCCAGGATTTTCTTTATGTAGGTGCCACTGTTGTGGGCACGGTGCTGTTCTGAGAGGTGATTTTTGGACTTTCTGTGAAACCTAATTTTTTTTTATATTCTTGTTAATTAGGTCATAACTAAAATTTTAAGAGCAAAATAAAAAACATTTGACGGTTAATTTTGTTTTAATTGGATGTTTATTAAAAATATGTATGCACACTTTCAATTCTCCAATTAAAACTTGCGATTTTATTTAAATATTATCATAACTTTTTAAATCAGATTAAAGATTAGTTAATTTCCTAAAAAAAGGTCTATACATTTTTTATATCTTTTACTGTTTTGTTGTAATACACGTTTAAAGTTTTAATTTAAGGTTAAATGTAGTATAAATTTATTAAACAACAATTCTAAGGGTGCCACATTTTATTTAGGGCCGATTTATTCATTTTTGATTTATTTGACGAATAATTTCTTTGGATACTAGATATTGCCAAGACATGAAAGTTATCGGCCCAAAAAACTTTACTAAACCGGTCCTTAATTAAATTTTATGAATTTCTTCGTAACTTTTACTACATTTTTTCATTTTTGTTTATAAAAAACACTTTAAAAAACTAAACAAAAATTATAGAATACGTATACTGAAAATGACAATTCAAACATCAAATAAATTTTTAATAGATTTAAGTTTCATGGCAACCTTTAAGGATATATTAATTAAGGGAACATACATGTATACGTTAAAGGTTAGATTTAAAGTTTGAACGTTTATTGCAACAAAACAGTAAAATATATAAAAAAAATTGTAAAAGCCTTTTTTTTAGTTATGCAAATATTAAATATTTAAATTATGTAAATCGCTAGTTTTAATTGGATAATTGAAAGAGTGCATAATATTTTTAATAAACAGCCAATTAAAACAATTCAAACCGTCAAATTTTTTTTATTTTACTCTTAAAATTTTAGTTATGACCTAATCAACAAGAATATAAAAAAAAATTAGGTTTCACAGAAAGTCCAAAAATCACCTCTCAGAACAGCACCGTGGTGGGGTTTATTAGTTTTTCTTTGTCTGTGGAGGATTTTTTAGCAATATTCTTTCCCTTCTCTTCATTTGTTGTTGTTATTTTAGGTACCACAGGGCCAGGTTTTTCTTTATGCCCAGTGGGTACTACTATTGTCTCTTTGTTTTGTTTGTTTTCTTGGATGTTGTATCCTCTTCATCCGTAAGTTTCCTCTTCTTTGTGGCGTTGAGGTTTGAGTTTTTCGATCAGCTCATCGATTTTTTGCTGAGGACTCTATTGTATTCTGTAAATGACAACAAGTTGGCGGTGCATGTCGTCAATCTGGCTGTCTTTACGCATCAGGGCCTCGGTAAGTTTCTTAATAGTTTCGGTTTGGTCGTTTGGTGGTTATTTTAGGATTTGTTCTGACATCTTCTTCAGGTTTGCGGTGGCACTTGCAATGGCTGGGATGGTTGTGCCTGCTGTATGGGACGGCAGCGGCGGAGTTTCCTTTGAGGGTGTTCTAGCAGTCATTTGTAGGCACTGGATTGATGTTTGGTGATTTGTGGAGCTCGTGGTTTTGAGTCTTTTGGGCATAAATGCCCACGGGTCCTTGGGCCCCCGTGGGCTTGGATCTCGTTAAAAATTAATTTTTTTTAGTCCTAAAAATAAAATTCTTAAAATTATTCCAAAAGTCCAAAACTGTTTAAAATGAAGTTAAAATCGACAAGTACATTATACACATTAAAATCGATACCTATCATGGTGTTACTAGTTATATATTTGGGCATTATGGGATTATGAAACAAAATATATACCTCAATGAATTAATTACGTGTATGTAAAGTACCTAGTAAAATTATAAAAGCAAACTTAATCCCCTTGTAAAAACCCAGTTTTATTTTAATAATACATAAAAATGCTGGGGAAAATGTATAAATAAATAGTAAAATCTAAGAATAGTAACTCACTAACCATCGAAATACGTACATAATCACTTATATTGACAACATAAAAACCGCCCGTGAGTAATGAACTCACTATTTCCATTATTGGCGACAGTGATTGGCTGATTTAATTATTCACTATAATTTAAACCAATCGAATCGTTGAAAACTAGATTATTCCAAAATCATTATCGCCCCTGGCGCTAATATATGCATCAGTCAGACGGATCCACCTTACTTTTCCCCAATTAAATTTCTCCTTTATGACTTTTTTAAAATTATATATTTTCGCGGGATTGTAAAAAATCAATTGATTTTGATTGCAAGGGACCACTTGGCGAATTTCCACTCAGGTACTGAACTCATAAGTGGAAAATCAAAAATTAAGTGGAAATACGACGTAGCTTTGACAACGGTTTGTTTATATGGTAGAAAAAAAGGTCAAAACCAGTTTTTTTATGCGTTTTTGCACAAAACTCGTTTAAATGAATCGCTTTGGTGATATTCAAAAAGAAGTAAAAATAATTATTACTATTCTGCCGTGCTTAATGAAAAAAAAAAAAATTTTGCAATTTTTGGTTTACGGCATTTCTACTAGAAAAATTCATCCTGCGTCTATCCCCGGTACTCAAATCCGTATCTATATATATACGGTTTTTTGAGTCCCGGGGATAGACGCAGGATGAATTGTTCTAGTAGAAAATGCCGTAAACCAAAAATCGCAAAATTGTTGGTTACGGCGTTTTCATTAAACACGGCAGTATTGCAGTTACTTAGTTAAATTTTTGTAATTTTTTTACAACCAATTTAAATTTTGTTGTATTTTTAGTAGCGAAAAATATTCAGGCAGTACATTCCAGGAAGGGAAGTTGCTTTTATGCTTAATGCATAAATAGCAATAGATTATTTATTGCTATTTATGCATTAAGTATAAAAGTAACTCTCCTTACCCTATTATAGATACCAACTTGCAAAAACAAAATTTATTTTGTAAGTTTAATTAATTAATTAAGAAGCAGCCAATTTTATAATCAGGTTGGCCGTTGCTAACTCGAGATATGACACAAATTGTAAAGCTGCATTTAAAAAGGAAATAAAATTAAAAAAAAACTTTCCTTTGTTTTGTGATTATTGAGTTAAGCAGGCCAAAATTCTTTTTAAATAAAATAGAGGCATCAAATGGCCTTTTTTATTAATTTGAAAACCAGTGTTATAGAACTATCTAAAATTGAATTAGTAAAAAATGACTAATTACTACAGTTATTAGTGGCTGCTTTTTCACTTATTCCATTGTATATCATGGGATAGCATGGTATATAATAGCCAGTTCTTATGTAAAATTGTCCGCATAATCCGAAAATGTCATCAAAAGTTATAATAGTAAAACAGTTTTTGAGATATAGTCAATTTTCCATATATAATGGAATTGACTATATCTCAAAAACTACTGTACTTTTATAATTTTTGACAGTATTTTCGGATTCAGGGGACAATTTTACATAAGAATTGGATATTATATCGGGGATACAATGCTATTCCATGGTATACCATGGTATAAGTGTAAAAGCAGCCACTAATAACTGTAGTAATTAGTCATTTTTGACTAATTCATTTTTAGAGAGAACAATTGTTAATATTAATATTAATATACTATTATTTTTTTAATATCTTTAAAAGTAATTTATTTACATGTATTTTAAGATTTGTTTTTTCAATTACAAATATAGTTTTAACATTAGTATACAACAAAAGCCATTTTTACAATCAGCAATTAGGGAAAATACATCTTTCAACGAAAAAAAAATAGGTTAGTTTTATATGTTTTATTTGGCTTGAATTTTTTTAATTTTTCTAACAAAAGGTACTAATATTGTTTTTTCCTGTTTAAGAGTGCATTTTAATATTATGTCGCCACAGAACCACAATATTACCCTGAATATTACTTTAATATACTATTGCATATGAAGTTATTTAATTTAATAGTCAATCAAATTTGTTGTAGTCATAAAAGTTCTGCTCTGATAAAAACAAGTGGTTCTATGGTGACTATTTGTTCCTACTAAAATAAACGACTTTTTAAAATTTCAGAACATTGGAATAATATTGAGGCCACGTCAGATAAAACATTATTTCATCAAAATTGCCGATAGATTATTTTTTTATATACCTAAAATTATTTTTATTTTGATTACTGAAATAAACTCTTCTTCTTAAGTATAACTTTTAGTAGTAATATTAAAAGAGAGTAAGAATAAATCGAAAATAATTTGATAGATTTTTGGCGTCCATTAATTACTTAAGTGAAATTTACTTTTGAATAATTTAATTTTATTTATTTATCTGTACCTAATAAAAAATGCTTAGAAGTTACAAACTACTAAGTATAATATATATATATATATATATATATATATATATATATATATATATATATGAGTAATTCCATAACATTTCGAATAATTTCTCGGGAGAGGTTAATCGATTTTGTTCAAACTTGGGAATCTTGGAGTACATCATAAAAGATCCCCACGAACCAAAATTCAACCCTCTAAGTGCCATAGGTCACGAAAAAAGACTATTTAAAGGACTAAAATTCACTATTTTTAGCTTATTTTTGAAAATTTGACTCTCAATAACTTTAAGCCGGAATTAAATTATTTGTATCAGGTTTTGTTTATTATATCTTTTAGTATGTATAAAAAAATAATTTAGACCTCTAGACCATTTGACCTTTATTTGGGACGTAGTTAAAAAAAAATAAAAATTTCAATAAAATGACCATTTTTAAATGGCCGCCAAAAATTCAATTTTTAACTGATCTGCTCTCGCTATAGTTCATTTTTTTCGTTGATGTATGCTCTTCAAGCGAGTAACTCAAAAAACTTTATTTGCCTGCAAGGATCGCTAATATTGCTTTTCAAAGTTGGTGTTTTTAAAAAAAATGCAAACTTTGACCCCCCAGTACAGATTTCTATCAACTCCGAATCGCACAAAAATTTAGGAGGACCTAGTGTTCTATGTCTAGAATAAGCACTCGAAGGGATTTTCTTGGCCCGAACTTCTATGATTATTTATAATTAATTAAACATAAGTAAAATCGACCAAAATTTTAATAGTTAAATTTAATAATAAAACTGCTTTTTTGTCTCATTGTTTATTGCTTTCATCCGAATACTACAATATTAAAATATTATGGACAAGTCAATACTCAAAAAAACGTCTTTTCAAAATAATTTTAATTTTTCAGTACTCCACATTGATCTATGATGATGCATTTTCTAATAAATCGTCGAAAGGTCAATTTGAGGATGCTGTCTAACTAGTGTTTTAAAATAATCTGAAAATTTGAACCGGCGGAAAAAACCGTTTTTTCGGGAAAAAAATAAAAAATTGACATTTGCATTTTTTTTATTTTATTCAAAGGGTAATAGGAAAAAAGTGCCAGTCAATTATCCAAAAATGTCCAAATTTTTACTAATATTCGTACACTAATATCCAGAACAAAGTGAATATCCGACTCTGATTATGATCATATAATATTATAATTATAATATTTAATTTAATTCCGTAAGGATATTCTACCGGGCCTAAAAAAACATATTTGGTGCTGTATTAACACAATTGTTATTTGAACATCGATTTATAAAATTATAATTCTGTAATTTTAGTTCATATAATATTGATATCATTCAATATTGATATTTTCAATGACCCCCTTTTGCAAAAAGGGCCCAACCGATAATATATTTAACGTTTATGTTATTAAAAAAAACGCTGCAGTTAATTTGAGTGTAGTACGGGTCTGAGTATATATTCGAGGAAGCGTGCTCGAAATGTGTAGCGTATTCGAAAAAGTTTTCCGGGAAATTTTTCAAGGAAAAAAATCAAAACAATTCACAGAATCTGTTTATTTAAAATCGAAGAATATTGCAGTATATAATTTAGTGCGCAAATATTTAATTGTCATTGTTTACTTATAAGTAGGTGCTAATATTTTAACACTATTAAACTATACTATTATGTATCATTTTAATTGCGTACTTTGTTCTAGAAATCACTTAGCAAAATATATTGTCATGAAGAAGACTTCAACATTAAAGTAACTTCATACAATTTTTTTGCGACAAGTCACGGGAAATGGCTTTGTGATGCAATTGGTGGGTTTATTAAAAGATTAGTTATGCGATATTGTCTACGAGCTCCACCAGAAAAACAAATTACAACTCCTTTACAAATGTATGAATACGTCGTACAAAACTGCGAAAGTATAAGGTACCTAAACATTGTTATTTTTTTTCATTCTTGAAGATCGTTTTCGAATATGTAATCCAAAATAATACGTTCTGATAGTGACAGTACCTAATAATTAATTGATAATAATAATTTTCAGAGTTTTTACAGATGTAAAAAAGCATGAGAAGAAATTAAAACGCCGATTTTCAGTTGTGAAAACTCTTGAAAATACCAGACAATACCACTGTTATATACCAGTTAAAGAAAATTCATTCCAAGCTAAAATTACCTCATTTGATACTTCTTCAAAGAAGGTAAACCTTCTACTTCCAAATAAAAATAAGTTTGAAGTTATACTCAAAGATAAAGTAGTCCAATAATGTATTGTTATCTTGATGTAAATTACATAATAAGGTAATCAATATTTCTAACTTTGTGTATAGGAATGCATAGTAAGTAAACTTAAGCTTATATAACCACAAAAAGAAAACTTTTTTGATGGAAAAAAAATAAACTTTAACTTTAATAAAAAATCAAACTTAAATGTACGTACTAAAAAATTAACATTATTTTAAAACGGCTTTTTTTAGAATTCTTGCTGTGTTTATATAATTTTATTATTGTATTATTTGGATGAAAGTATAATAAAGAATAAGAGACGAAAAGAGCAATTTTATTATTGAATTTAACTATCCAAATTTCTGTCGATTTTACTTATGTTTAACTAATTATAAACAATCATAGAAGTTCGGGCCAAGAAAATCCCTTCGAGTGATTATTCTAGACATAGAACACTAGGTCCTCCTAAATTTTTGTGCGATTCGGAGTTGATAGAAATCTGTACTGGAGGGTCAAAGTTTGCAATTTTTTCAAATACACCCACTTTGAAAAGCAATATTAGCGTTCCTTGCAGGGAAATACATTTTTTTGAGTTACTCGCTTGAAGAGCATACATCAACGAACAAAATGAGCTATAGCGAGAGCAGATTAGTTAAAAATTGAATTTTCGGCGGCCATTTAAAAATGGTCATTTTACTGAAATTTTTATTTTTTTTAACTACGTCCCAAATAAGGGTCAAATGGTCTAGAGGTCTAAATTATTTTTTTATACATACTAAAAGATATAATAAACAAAACCTGATACAAATAATTTAATTCCGGCTTAAATTTATTGAGAGTCAAATTTTCAAAAATAGGCTAAAAATAGTGAATTTTTGTCCTTTAAATAGTCATTTCTCGTGACCTATGGCACTTAGAGGGTTGAAATTTGATTTGTGGGGATCTTTTATGATGTACTCCAAGATTCCCAAGTTTGAACAAAATCGATTGACCCCTCCCGAGAAATCATTCGAAATGTAATGGAATTACTCATATATATATATATATATATATATATATATACGTCAAATAATAAATGGTATATTATATTACTATAGTAGTACTCTTTTTGTGTTGAGCTCAGAATTTATAGAGGCGTAGCCGATGCTAAAAACTGGGCGAAATACAAAAGTTGTTCTACTCTTCAAGAGCATTAAAATAAAAAAATATTTGTTATAAAATTTAATGTCATTTAATTTAATCTATCAATTAAACCTAGCCTAAAAATAAAAAATCTTAAAATAATATTTTTATTAAACGCTTATGGTGTTCGGTAGTAATATTATGTTACTAGTAAAACAATATCCACACGGCTTTCGGTAATAGCATTGTGTTGGAAAACAATGTTTTATTTAAATTTTTTATTAGGCTTGAATAAAAATACGTTGTTATTTAAATTATTCTCCCTATTAATAATGAAAAAATATTGATTATTTCCACTATAAAAATGTTTTGATTGACTAAAACATACATGGCTGAAATTAAAAGTTTCTATTGGTTTTTATAAACCTCAAAAATTATCAAAATAATAATTAAAGCGCTTTTCATAAAAACAGCCATAGTCTAAACATTTCTTATTGATTATTTTATATTTAAATCATATCTTAAAAACTTATAAAGATAGACTTGTGCTGTTTGAACCTAACATTTCGTCACTTGAGAATTATAGTGTTCTATCTGCATTTTCTTTTTAAATTGAGGTTAGTCTTGTTTTAAGTCTTAAAGATGCATATTGTTATATCTATATATAATTGGGGTAGAAATTGTACAGTTCAAGCCTTAAACTGTACAATTTCTAACCCAATTATATATAGATAGAACAATATGCATCTTTAAGACTAAAAAACAAGACTAACTTCAATTTAAAAAGAAAATGCAGATAGAACACTATAATTCTCAGGTGACGATTTGTTAATGAGATAAATAATTATTTTGAATGTGACGAGTACATGTTTGGTACCTACATTTTTGGACCTTAGCAAGGCCTTCGATTGTGTGCTACACGATATTTTTATCCGTAAATTGTATTACCTTATTTTTTTATCTCTTCAGCCTACTTATCTGGTAGAACTCAATCTGTACTTATAAATGGCTTTCAATCAATCGGTGTTATATAGAGTACCACAAGGTTCCATTCTGGAACTGTTTCTAATATATGTAAATGATCTGCCAAACTATTTGGCTACGGCTGACAACGTAACATTATTTGCAGATGATACCTAATTTTCAGTTAAAAGTTAATCTTTAGAATTAGCCAAACAGAGAAGTGGTGATACACAATCGAGATACTTGAAATTGTTTAATACGTTGTTGTTGTTGTTAAATTTAAACTCAGACAAAAGAACACAAATATTGTATACCTTAAAAACTGGTGTTGACTTTGGCTACATAAAGTTTTTGGGAGTTAATATTGACAGTAAATTGTTATGGCACCAACAGGGGGATGCGCTCGCAAATAAACTTAATGGTGATATTTTTTTATTAAGAAATCTATCGAATAGCCTACCCAAGTCCTATCTCTCTAAAAATAAATTAGTCAAAAATGACTAATTGTCATAGCGAAAAAGCAGCCACTAATAATTCTCGTCGACAGCAATTTGTATTCCAAATATTTAGCAGTCAATTCCAATGTAAAATTGTTCGCTGAATACGAAAGTTCCGTCAAAAGTTATAAAAGTAGAACAGTTTCTTAGATATAGGCAATTTTATTATGGGGATTTTGTTTTGACAAAGAGGCAGAGCGGTCAGTCAAGTTGGCCCCCCCCAATCGTGCAAACCCCCTCTATTATACATCATAATTTTGCACACATTTTGCACACCCCTTCTTAAATTTTGCACACACCTGCTTTGGAAATGGCAAGAAAAATCATGTGGGGGGGGGGCAAACTTGACGCTTGCCCCCCCCTTTGCTTCGACAAACTCTACTTTTCGTCATAATAATCTTCTAATTTTGCACAATTTTGCACACCCCTACTTCATTCCTCACGGTGTCCCAAAAATTTCTTCCTAGCCCCCCCCCACTGAAGAAATTCACTTTTTTTTCTATCCTTATCCTCTAATTATACACAATTTTGCACACCTCATTTCAAATTTTGCACACCCCTTCATCCACCCCCGCGGCATCCCAAAAAGATATGCACTAGCCCTCCCCACCGGCAAAAATCCTCATTGCTTTTGTGCTATCCTAATCCTCCAATTTTGCACAATTATGCACACCTCATTTTAAGTTTTGCACACCCCTACATTAATCCTCACGGCAAAAACGGCAAAATTTACTTAGAATCCCCCCCAATAACAAAATCCAATTTGTTTTTATGCTATCCTGATTCTCCAATTTTGTACAATTTTGCACACCTAATTTCAAATTTTACACCTTTTTTAAATCTAGCCTAACCCCCACATTAACGTCCTCGCTCACTGTGTTTCCGAAAATTTTATCCAGCTCTCTCCTTGCCACTGCCAAAATTCTATTAGGTAACCATAATTAAAAGAAGGAAAAGTATTCAAAGGCCAAGCTTTTATTTTTTTATCAAAATACTAGTACAATACAGAGAAATACAAAGAAAAAATAAAATATGAAAACAAAACAAGTACCTATTCAACTTCTAATATTGGGACGTATAAAACAAAATTTGGCAATTCACCATTCGCTTACCAGAACAGGACTCGCTTTTAGTTTTGGTGTCGTTATAAATCTCCCAACGAATATTATGTCGCAAAATGTAAGCTGTAAAATGACCAACTCCTACGTTAGGACCAATATAACCAACCAATCCTCGCAATACGTACGTCTCGTTGCACACTGTCACTTTCTTTGGTAAATCGTCTAACGTACTTTCCAAAGTAAAAACTTTTTTATTGGGATCTAAAGGTTCGATCATAAGGTGTGTTAAACTAATTTTAGTTTTTCAAAATTGTGCAAAATTAGAGGATCAGGATAGCATAAAAACAAAGTGGATTTTGTCAGTGGGGGAGGCTGGTAAGTAAATTTTTGGGATGCCGTGGGGGTGGATGGAGGGGTGTGCAAAATTTGAAATGAGGTGTGCAAAATTGTGCAAAATTAGAGGATCAGGATAGCATAAAAACAAAGCGGATTTTGTCAGTGGGGGGGGCTAGTAAATAAATTTTTGGAATGCCGTGGGGGTGGATGGAGGGGTGTGCAAAATTTGAAATGAGGTGTGCAAAATTAGGAGATTATGATGACAAAAAGTAGAGTTTGTCGGAGCAAAGGGGCGGGCAAGCGTCAAGTTTGCCCCCCCCACATGATTTTTCTTGCCATTTCCAAAGCAGGTGTGTGCAAAATTTAAGAAGGGGTGTGCAAAATTGTGCAAAATGTGTGCAAAATTATGATGTATAATAGAGGGGGTTTGCACGATTGGGGGGGGGGGGCAACTTGACTGACCCAGGCAGAGCTTCAGAAATTCCGTAATTGAAGTTTATTTGAAGAACGTTACAAACATGTTAAAAGAAAACAACAGAGATAGGATATAAACGGATTACATTTTCTTTACAAAGTGACTAGAAGTACACCGGGAGTACGGGCATTAAACGTACACCGGGAGTACGGGCATTAAACGTACACCGGGTGGAAAAAAATCCTTATTTAGCAAATTTTTATATTTGTCAATTGTATAATATTAAATGGTCGCTCAATTTCGCGCTCAATGGGACGGGGTTGGTTTGGGTAATTTATACAGACATTTAAATAATTTTGTTAATTGTATTTCAATCACTTAATTAAATTTTAATTAATGTTTATACAACTTGAAAGTTAGCTTAATAGTTATATAATTATTATCAAGAGTTAACCAGCTGTTATACAACTGGGCCTTAGTGTACCAATTTAATCTCAACTAATAAATCCGAAATTTTACCATCAGCTGGTATGGAAACACGCATGCGCACAAACCTGATGTACGTTTAATGCCCGTACTCCCGGTGTACTTCTAGTCACGGCGTTTTCTTTACATAAAACATATTTCTCAATGTTACCAACTGATAA